TGCTAAAGTGACTGAGAAAAACTGTAAAATGTGCTGGGACAGTCAGTTGAGCAACAAGATCACAGCACATCTCAATTCTAACATAGATGCATTCTGTGTCCTGTCCTTCCGAGTTTGTTCTTTCAAGGTTCTTTTCATTCGTGTAATTGATGTCTGCAACCACAAGATGGCATTGAGGCATCAAATCTAAGTTTCAAATCATTAGCTGTGTCAGTAGAGCTTCATATAAGGCTACACCCACTATCCCTAAATATGGTGGTTATATTCTTGGCGTTTTTGCTACTCCTAAATGTCTTTTATTTGGATCAAATACTTGTGAACATTCCCAGCACTCTGCATTGTCTGTATGGGTTAGTCATCTTTAAACATACACACAAGAAAATTTAAGCTACAATCAGTTTATTAGAAACAATGCACGTGAGCAATATTCAAGTAATATCCAACTTTCATCTCATTGGTGGCTGATCTGTACTAAATGTACTCATTTCAGTCCTGTCCTCTGAAGTGTTTACTCTTGTCTAAAGCTAGGCATTTGGCATCTCAAATGAACCTATCATCTTTCTGTGTTTGTGGTTGGTGTGCATGAAAAGGTTGATTGAACTAAAACCAAACAACTTTTCTGGAATCAGTAGCCTTTCTAATAAAGTCAGCAGGACTCCCTAATCAGATCATGCTTCATCCTAATTAACTCATCCTGATTAATAGGTCTAATTACTTGGGTGTGGTTTCCTCTGGGTTCACGACACACTCTTGGCATAAACTTGAGGAAAATTTTGGATTCACTTTTTTTTGTTTTGTGAAAGCTTTTCCTTTGGTGTAGAAAACTTCAAGGTAAGCACTATGAAAAAATAAAGCCACATACTCAGTTTAATTTGGAGTTATAATAATTTAAGGAACCCATTTTAGTTACTACCATCTGTCTTTTTGATGTTTTAATTACCGTCTGTCTTTAGTTGCCAAGAAATTTGTCCAAAATGAGAATCCGCTTCCGTTCAAAAACAAATGTTCTTTTTGGTTGACTGTAATTTGAAAACTTTTCTCGCCAAGTAACCAAAACCTTCTTTTGGGCTTGTTCTGCACAAGATATGGCTGCTATAGTAACCCAAGATCCCACTGGCGGTATTGCAAGTGTACTCCATAGACCACGGCATGCACAAGTCCCTCAGCACCCTGGTCCTCTGCCCTCCAGAATATTACACCCAGAAGAGCATCTCCAGCTAAACCAGCCCTTTTACGTTCCCACTGTCCAGCCGTTCTTCCCATATCAATGGTCCATGTCAACTCCATATGTGCCCTATGGTGGCTTTCATGGATTAGGTATAATTTTATTTTCTAGTTTTGCTAAATATTATTGATTCTACTATTAACCGATTTCAAATTCAGTTTTTCAGGATTTTTTTATTTTTGTGCTCTAATTTAATTTTACCTGATGATCACTTTTCTTTCTTGTCTCTAAAAGTTTCTAGATCTTTTCTAGATTGTCTTGACCACATTAACCTCTCAAACAAGTGAAAACATGGAGGGAACCTCATGCTTTTCATAATATGAAGTGTGATCTTTAGGAATCCATCGTAAGCTGGAAAATTCCTAATGTTTCTGCTCA